TTTAGGTAGACTAAATTTGCAAATTAAATGATGTGTCACCAATAAGAAATAAGCACGTTAATCAACATATCATCAATTTCTATGTTATTTAGTTCACAAAATTTAGTCTACACATTTAGTATCCCTAACTTATCGATATATATATATATATTTTTTTTTTTTTAAATGATGTGTCACCAATAAGAAATAAGCACGTTAATCAACATATCATCAATTTCTATGTTATTTAGTTCACAAAATTTAGTCACACATTTAGTATCCCTAACTTATCGATATATATTAAATTTATATATTCACATGTGTGTGGGCTTCATCTAGTTAATAATAAAAGTAAATTTTAATTGTGCATACCGAGCTCGTGTGCTGATTGCCAGTGTAACGACAAAAAGTAGTTGTGGGAAACCTATGGCTATAATTGTTGAAGTGAGTTGTTTAGCAAGAGTTCAAATCTTCTGAGCCCAAAAATGATTGTGACCTATATGTGGCCTTCCTAAAAACATGACACTTGTATACTCAATTATGAACCTTAACCTCTTAACTCCCTATGTTATCTCCTAAATTTGGAAAACAAAAAAAAAAAAAAAAAAAAAAACCCCAAGAAATTAAGCAAAGCTTGCACTCTGGCCATCACATTCTTCCACAAACGGCACATGAGCAGTCTACTCTGCAATTGTAGACGCGAAGCTTCAAACAACGAAACTCTGGCAAAATCGACGAACCAAATTCTAGGTCATCTGGGTATTCTTGGGTGGGATCCCGGTCCGCCTCAAAGGCCTTGAAACCGCCAAAACCTCCAGTTTGTTCACCTGGGTCTCGCTCAAATTCGGCTGCTCCGAAGCGTTGCCGTTCACCGCCACCATGTCTGATTCGAAGTGTCGTCGTCCATATCTGGCATTTGGATATTTTGTTCCATAGTTCAGTGCTTGGACATGGAGGCTGGGTGGGAGTTGGGAATTTGGAAGCCAGAGCGAGAAGTGGAGTCGGCGAGAGTGCAGAGGGTAATAGAGTTAAGGATAGGTAATTGAGTGAACATGTGTCGCGTTTTTAGGGAGACCACAGTTTATTTAGGTGCACAAGATATGATCTCGTTTAGCACTTTCATTTATTTTCCTGATAAGTTGTTCACTGTACTCCTGTTTTTCTCCAACATTTTGTTTACATTGGTATTCATATATGCTTTTGACACATCTTTCAGATTTTACTCCGAATCTTGTGATTGTGTGTGAAAATCTTCTCGTATATAATAAGAAAATCAAATAGGTTGCAAGACAGATACAACTTAAAATTTATGTACTAATGTCAACTTAAGCATATGGAAAAATTAGTATCCGGTCTCTAGTTCTTACTGTTCATTGACTAAGACCTTGTTAGTTCTCAAATTTTGATTCAAGTCCCTAGCATTAATGTGATAATGAATTTACATGTTTATTATATAATTTTTTAATATAAAAATTAGTAATTAATTTAGGGTTTAATACTCACACCTCTATTAAACTTCTAATTAATTTTCAATTCAAACATTTCCAAAATAATAAAAAAATTAAATTAAATTAAGTTTGTACCTATTAGTTTTTTTTTTATATATATAAAAAAGATTCTCAATTTTTTAATCTTAAATGTACCCATTCATATAATTTTTCAATTTTTTTAATCTTAAATGTACCCATTCTCAAATATATCAAAAATTTGTTATATGTAAAATGTACCCTTTTTTTAATATAAAATCCTTTCAAAATTTTTAATCCATGTTTAAACTTATATGGGTACGTTCTTTTTCGTTGATTTGAGAATGTATCCATGTTTTGGTACAATAACTTTTTTTTGTTAATTTTGGTTAATGTACCCATACATATATGTACACACACACACACACACACACACACACACACACAATATAATAGAGAGTATAATTTATATTTTATTATTTTTAATCCCATAAATTATGGGTTTTATTTAAAATCTCATTAATATAAACAATTACAAATTTCAATTTTTAATTTTTAATTTAAAAAATATAGTAACTTACATTATTACATTAATGTCAGGGACCTCAATAAAAAACTAAAAACTAACAAGGTTTCAATAAAAAAATATTGATAGTTAAGGACCGCATCCAAAATGTCTCTAAGCATATATATGGATTATGTAGGGTTGTCCTAGTAAATGGCAAAGGTTATACATATCGTAAAAGCTGGAAATACAGTCTTATTCTTAGGTTGCCAGACTACTAATGTCAAAAGTTCAATGTGTGTCTCTGTTAAAATAGATTTAATTAATGAATTCAGAATCATTCGGGTAATTATAAAAATGTAATTTTTTATTGTATATATTTTAGGTTCCTTCTACATATGAGTTTTGTCAAACCTTATATTACAATATATTGTATCAAATTAGTTCAAGAAGTTCTACCAAAAAAAAAAAATTAGTTCAAGAAGTCATACTTCTACATGATATCAAAGCCCTAAACATTATAAATGTAAGCAATAGAATCCACTTAAAGGAATTTTGTAAGCATGTTTTCATGCTAAATTGCTTTAAGGAATCAAATAATATATATTCTCCTAATTAAGATTACCACTATATATATATAAGGGAGACTTTGGATACGGTTCTTAGTTATGAATATTCCTTGATTGAAACTTTGTTGATTTTTAATTTTTGATCGAGGTCCTTGAAATTAATGTGATAATTTATTTCTTTGTACGTTACTATATTTTTTAAAATTATAAATTAGAAATTTTAGTTGTTTATATAAATGAGATTTTAAATAATAAAAAAACATAATTTGTGGGATTAAAAATATAAATATACTATTGTGTGTGTGTGTGTGTGTGTGTGTGTATACATGGGTACATTCATCAAAATTAACCAAAAAAATTAATGTATCAAAACATGGGTACATTCTTCAAAAATCACAACAAAAAAAAAAGATATTAGGCTTAATAACATTAGTAAATTTCTTTGATTAAACTTGACATGGATACATTTTAAAATCAAAGAAAAAGAATGTACCTATATAAGTTAAAAATGGATTAGAAAAAAATTGAATAGATTTTATATGGAAAAAAGGGTACATTTTACATATAACAAATTGGTATATATAAGAATGAATACATTTTAATATTAAAAAGTTTTACATGAATGGGTACATATAATTAGCATGGGTACATTTAGCAAAATAAAAAGTACAAATAAAAAAAAATACATGGGTACAAATACAAATAAACTTTAAAAAATATGGGCACAAAAAGAAATTAATATATGAGTACAAATTAAAAATGAAAAGAAAATTGGTACAAGTTAAAAAAGAATTACAAATTAAAAATGGGTACAAACTAAAACTAAAAATATATGATAAAAGATTTAGTCATAAATATAAATATACTAATTGTAACATTTTTAACATTAAATGAATATATTTAGAAATAAAAAAATATTTTATTATTGAAATAATTAATGATGTTATTAATACCCAAGGACCTTGATCAAAAATTGAAAGGGAATAGGATTTAATCAATGAAGTAGCAAAATGAAGGATGAAAACCTAATTTCTCCTATATATAAATTGCTTTAAGGAATCAAATAATATATATTCTCCTAATTAAGATTACCATTCTATATATATATATATATATTGCTTTGTGTGGAGTATCGACAGATTTCATCGAATACCAAAATGCGACCACTTTACTCATCAACGTCTTGCATATATATGCAACATTCCTAATACTTAATTAATTATTGAAGTGGATGGAGCATATATATATATATATATATATGAAGCCAAACATGGTCGAAGAAAATTAGGTGGCCGATTTATCATATTTTATGTGGTGGATTGTTTGGGAAACTATAGTGTTGATCATGTTGATGTTCTTTGGTGAGATTCTTGATGTATGTAGTTGCGGCTTTTGCTAATAAACTTTCAGGGCATCCAAATTTTCATTTCTCTTGTCTTAATTGATTTTTGTTTCAAATAATTTTCAACTTCTTTTTAGGGTTTGGCTTCATGTTCTCTCTAACATATTTTACTAACATATTTTATCTTTATTTTTTCTTCAATAAATTCACAATAATGCTTTTTTCCATGATAGCAATGTTGGAGTGGAATTATTTTAATTTAAAAAAATGGTCGAAGATTATTGATGTAGCCTTTTCCTTTCAAAGACTTCAAGCATTGTATAAACCTTGCATTAAGAGGGTTATTATATATAAATGACAATATGTATATGCTTATAAAGATCTGTCAATTGTTTATTTGTTCTGGCTCCTGATAATTATCTAGCTAATGTGAGTGTAAGCAACTTGTTGTTTTGCAAGTTGCAAGTAAGCAAGTGTGTGATCAACCGACAGATGGATATTAATTATTTCATATGTGCAATGTATCCCAGTTCCTATCTAATAGGGGATTACAGAAACTATCAGCAAAGAAGTGTTTTAGTCTTAGTAAACCGCTTTAATTAAGAACTTGTGTCTCAAGCCGAATGCCTAATACTAGTACAAAAAAGACTTTGCGCAACGTAGGACATTCGTCGCGCAAAGTCAAAAAACGTCGCGCAAAACGTAGCACAACGCACCCACGTCGCGCACTGACCGTCGCGTCAAGGCAGTGAAGGAAAGGTTTGCGCGATGTAGAAGTGACCTGCGTTGCGCAAAACCACTTCGCGAGACGTAGGTCTGCGTCGCGCAAAACAATTTCACACGACGTAGGTCTGCTTCGCCCAAAACCACTTCGCACGACGTAGTACTGTGTCGCGCAAAACCACTTCGCGCGACGTAGGTTTGCGTCGCTCAAAACCACTTCGCGCGACGTAGGTCTGCGTCGCGCAAAACCACTTCGCGCGACATAGGTCTGCGTCACGCAAAACTTGTTTTTATGTCGCGCGAAGTGGTTTTGCGCGACACAGTACTACGTCGTGCAAATTTTTTTTTTTTTTTTTTTTTGGGCAATTTATTTAATTTTTAATAAATATTGTAATTAAATTCTAAACAATAATTAATAAACCAAGAAAAGGTATTTAATTATACAATATATGAAAATGTACATACAAGATGTTCGAACAAAAAAGAAAAACTACAGGTCTTTAGGTTTAATACATCATGCTACTAGGTATCAGCTGGGCGAAGTGGCTGAGAAGTCGAAGGTGGAGCAAGATTAGGTTCTGGCATCGAGATTTGGAGGCCGGACATCGCTAAGGCCTGAACAATCATATTCATCCTCTCGTTCTGGGCCACAAGCTGACCTCTTAAGGTTGTCACTTCCTCCTTCAGGGAATTGACCTCTAATGTGGACGATATGGAAGAGGATGCACCCGTCTCACGAACCCCCGCCTTCCCCATACACCGAACAACCTTGCCATGACAACGACCCAACTTCTGATCCAGGACCTCAGTCACGATCTTAAGATCTGCATCCTCGGGTACAATGACGTCCTCGATCGAGGTCTCTGGCGGAAGCTGCGATGTTGCTTCTTGGAGAATAGCAGTGCTCTTTTCCTGTAATAATTAATAAAGAAAAAACATATAATGTTTAATAACAAAATATAAATAATATTTGAACAATTCATAAAAATAAGAATAATAACAATTACATATACTTACAAGAAGCTGCTCAGCGATCTCTTTGCCGGGTCGAATGTAAACATCCTTGAACAGGTCAATCTGTAGGAACTTAGAACCCTGCTGAAGAAAAACATTAATAATAAAAAATAAATTGTATAAAATTTAAAAATTAATATACTTTTACCTGACGTCGTGCCTCAAGCCTATACGAAAAGGGCTTTGAACCGGAATGGTGGAGAAGTGTCTTTGAGTCCCGAGCTTTCTTGCCAGCAACAGATTTCTTTTGTTAATCATACAATATACATGTTAGTGCAAATATTCGAAATAAATTATTTAAAAAAGCTTAAAAAAATAACAAACACTAAATCATTATTAAAGTATTATGTACATACCACAAATTTTGGGTCCGTAAAATATTTGCAGAGCCACTCCCAATCCTCCAGCCGGTCCTTCAACTCAGCTGGGCAACCCTGTAGGCGAGCAATCTCCGGATCATCCCATAGCTGAAATGCTTGTGAAAAGCACACTTCCAATCTTTGTACCGGTTTGCTAAGGTCTCCTCTAAGTAGGCACTGACCTCAGGGGATATGTCCTCAAGATCAAAATTGACCTACAAATATGAAAAACAATAAAATAATATTAAGAAATTTAATAATATTAAGATAATATACTTTGGTTTATAATATTTGTAAACAAAAATAAAAAAAATGATAAAGGCTAAAAATTAATATACTAACCGTCAACTTGTCTTGCACCAGTTCCTTTGTCTCCTCGGGAATTTGTGCCCAACTCTTCCACTGCATAGGACAACAATACCAAATAACAAAACCACAGCTATTAATGACGCTGCTATGCTGCTGTGAGGTAGCCGCTCCAAGATATCGCGAGTCATATGCAATCTTGATCAAGGAGGCGGACAAACGTACAGCCTGTGCCTCCTTCAGCATTCGATTGGGCCCCCTGGTGTTTTTTTTAGCTGCCCAAAAAAACTTAAATGGTAAAAACCCTAAGCTTAAATTTGTACAGAAAATTCGGCAAAACCTCCCCTAATCATAAAAGTACCTTAAAACAGTAATTAACAACCCACAACACATTTTCACAATCATAAAAGTAATAGTTTTAAAATGAAAAATAAATACAACGTAGTGAGAATTAGAAAAAAACTACCTGGTTGGGAGGCCTCACCCTCGACTCTGGAGGACAAGGAAGAGTGATCATAAGGCTCCGGCTCGCAGAGGCGCCGGTGTGGCCGCCGTGCACTGAGGGGCTGAACTGACACTGATGATGTTGATGATACGGGCACCTGGGATGCCGTAGGAGTAGCCTCAGTAAGGGGTGTAGGCTCCCCAATCAATGGAGCACTCACTCCTGGAGCAGTAGATGCTGATAATGCAGGGGCCGCATTGGACAAACTCCGGCGACGAGTGATCGAATGCGACATCTATACACTTTTTGAACCATAAAAATATAACATTATAAACTAATCCCTTCTTGCATTTGAAACTAATAAATTAGCAACCAAAGTAATATAAGTAATTAGAGCAATAATATCAATACAAGATTATTTAAAATACCAATGGTTCAAGAAATTACAGAGACAATATTGAAGAGGGACAAAGAGAGGGAGAGAAATTGAGTACCTAAGTAAAAATTTCAAAATTAATATACTTTTACCTCACGTCGTGCCTCAAGCTTATACGAAAAAGCCTATACTTTTAAGGAGACACATGTAGAGATACATGCACTATTTTAAATGCATTTTCTCGAACTAATAAGGAGACACGTGCAGAGATAAGAAAGGAAATGTTTAGTTATTACGTAAATATATAGAACTCTATGTATACAGTATATATATATATATATATCAAGTATCACCAACAAACAGCAGTACAATAATTTTTTGAGAAGATCAAACAGCAATACAATAATGGAGTCCGAGAAAATGATTTTTGTAAGCAATAATGCCACTCCAACAGCAATTGTAAATATTAGTTTTTTTTTTTTGGAAACTCGAAGCTTATATAAGAACACAGGGCAAAAGCCAACTGAACACAGAAAGCCCACACAAGGGCAATCACAGCAAAACAGACAAAGGGCAATTGTAAATATTAGTTAAATATCACATCTCCGAGACTCCCTCAGTCCTATCCAAAGTCATATCACTGCCACTGTTGTCATGAAAACAATGTATATGCTAATGTAGTGTCACTTTCTTCTTAGGCTCTTGTCTAGAATGAAAATCTGTTCATCTCCGCTTTCTATTTTTCATAGCCTTTCATTGTTATCTGTGAATCTGTGATGTGTAGGAATTGAATGATGTAAAAGAGCTTGAACAGAAAATGAAGCCAAAGGTGTGCTCTTCTGGACAATTTATATTCATCAGTATTTCCAATTAATCGTTATATAGAATTATTGTTATTTTTAAATTTTTTCTGCGACATTGTTGCATTTTGTTCTTGATCATTCACTGTCAACTTTCATGGGAAAACAAAGTAAAGACAGTAAACTTTTATACTAAGTTGCGCTTTTCTGTTATAATCTCATTACTAATAATTTCAGTAAACTAGTTTGGTTGACCATGTTTGCAGAAATAAAGATACACTATGTCCATTTGCTCGAAGTAATTTTTATTACCATTCATGTCATTTTCAAACACTCATTAAATATGTGGCAGTTAACTAAATGATATTTACTCATATAGCTTTAGCCTGAATTAGAAATATATAGACCTAGTTGATTGCAATTAAAAGAGTGTATACAAAAAATTGTGCCAAAAGCTTATTTGTTTTGTTCTGTTCATATCTTTGTTAGTGTCAGAGAACTAAGATTTTGCTAGGCAAATGAGAATTTGATGATGTTAGAGAAAATTTAAACATTCATATAACAAAATCAACAGACCCCAAATCATATCCAAATCAAGAAAGCAAAATGATATCCAGAATTCTCTAAACAACCGCAGCTTGTTCTTTCCAACAGACAAATTGGGTGCAGTGGCAAAATTTTCAGAGCATATCATAGAAAAGTACCTCCTTTAGAATTAAAGAAATTTGAAAGGCAGCAGAAGTTTAGTTCAATTGTTGCCAGCTTCGGAAAAGTTAAATACAGAAAGCGCTTTCTGCAGAAGTTCAAATCCGGTCCATTGTTCAACCATGTTGCAACTCCGAAACATAGATAGGAATCCCACAGCAGATTGACATGGACACATGTGAAGCAATGTAAGCAAATATCAAGAACTGGATGCGAAATCACGAAAAACTAGTAAGCAAACCATTACACATTGAAACTAAGCAAACAATTACTGCGTTGGGTTGGCACAGTTCAACAACTACACATTTGGGTATAGATTAAAGCAAATTATAAATGAAAAATCGAAATTGAACACTATATTTGGGTGAAAAATCACCTGGGTTCTAAAATATAGTTGAATTTCAGAGCAGATTGACAAAAAATATATCCAGATATCAATTGAACCAACAAAACTGGGGACTAAGATGCCCAAAGTTCAAGGTTTTCAAGCGGATTATGGTATCAAATTTCAATTTCTACTAATAAATTAAACAAAGAAACATTCTTTACTAAAACATCAACAGTTAAGCAGGAATTAAATGGATGAATCAAGTATCAGAAATATTACATGTATTAAAGCTCAAAGTGCATGAGCTTCCAATACGGATCAAAGGATTGAAATCCCATATGTGGAAAACTGGGACTGAACAAAACCCATGTATTGAAATTTTGTAATAGGGAGGACAGAGTAAGGATTCATGCTTTTAAGGTTCACAGAAATAGCTAAAACCCAGTTCTAGAAATATGAAATGGAATATTATGCACATCGTATTGTATCTTGGCTCATACTCGCGATTCAGTCAAATTTTACAGGGGTGTGCACATCGTATTGAAATCTGATACACAAACTAAAATTGAAATCTGGACCAAATAAAACCCTAATTATCATATGTTGAACGATTAAAGCAAAAGAGCAAAACATTGTGAGAGAGTGAGAGAGATGAAAAGGGACCTTTGGAATTGAGACGGAGTGAGAGGAGCGAGATGAGCGAGAGGGAAGAGAGAGACCGAGATGAGCGAAAGGGTTCGTTTCCTGCATACAAGTAGCTAAATTGAGGGAAAATACAAATTAAAGATTGAAACTTTAGCTGAATCTGTGAAGAAGACAAACCGGATTACCTGAGACGAAAACTGCCTAAAAATGCCAGCAATTCTTCCCAGAAACCAGATTTACCTAATTGAGAAAGTTAGTGAAAATATGTGGAGAAAACTGCCCACATTTGTGAGAAATTTGTTAGTAGGAAAAAAGAGGGAAAGGGAAATTTGTTTGCAGATGGGCGAGAGGGAAGAGAGAGACCGAGTGGAATAAGAGCAAAAGGTCGATGTTTTGTCCTATAAAAAAAATTGGAAAAATTTAAAAAACATTCGCCTATTATTTACAATTGGACCGCCAAAATTTTAAGACTTTGTGCGACGTAGGTATACATTCTGACATCGCGCAAACCTCATTTGCGCGACGCATATGTTGGTGCGTCGCCACAGTTTTTGCGCGATGCATAGACATCCGTTGCGCAAATTATATTTAAAAAAAAAATTATAAACATTATTGAAAATGTGACTTTAATCCTTTAAAACTACTTCATAAATATATATACTACAATAACCCGATCCAAACTACAATAATATATATTTATATATATATATATACACACTTTAATCCTTTAAAAATTGTTGAAAATTATTTTTCTAACAAAAACCCAATCCAAACTACAATAATAAATTTAAAACTACCTTAATAAATATATATATCATTCAATTTCTTAAGTGTTATAACAAAATAAATAAATTTAAGTTTCCAAAGAAAATAAATACATAAATTTAAAGCTACTTAATAAATATATATACTATTGAACTTGATGGGATACGGATTTTACGATATTAGTTTCAACGATCAAACTGTCAAACTTGTTTGTATATGCTTCGAGATCGCATACATAAAAAATCGCAAAACACATTCAGAGATTAAGTAACGGGACAAACATTTTCAACGGTTATAAACGAAAAATCACGATTTAACAGTTATTTTAACTCTGATTTTGATGATTTTTTACAGCTACACTCCTAGATCCTATATGAATACAATGAATGAACTCAATCTTCAATTTAAAATATTCACACAAGTGGATACCACAAAATCTTATGTTATACTTAATGAAAGTACAAATAAACTCTAAGTGTTAGTGATTCTATCATTTTGATGGGATACGAATTCTACGAAACTTATTTCAACAATCCAACCGTCAAACTTGTTTGTATATGCTACAAGATCGCATACACAAAAAAGCGCAATAAACAAACATTCAGATACCAAGTAACAGAACAAAACATTTTGACGGTTATAAATGAAAAATCACGATTTAACGGTTATTTTAACTCCGATTTTGATGATTTTTTACAGTTACACTCCTTGACCTTATATGAATACAATGAACAAACTCGATCTTTAATTTCAAATTTTCACACTAGTGGATACCACAAAATCTTATGTTATACCTAAGAAAAGTATAAATAAACTTTAAGTGTTAGTGATTCTATCATTTTGATGGGATACGAATGCTACAAAACTAATTTCAACAATCCAACCGTCAAACTTGTTTGTATATGCTACAAGATCGCATACACAATAAAGCGCAAAAAACAAACATTCATATATCAAGTAACGGGACAAAACATTTCGACGGTTATAAATGAAAAATCAGGATTTAACGGTTATTTTAACTCCGATTTTGATGATTTTTTACAGCTACACTCCTTGACCTTATATGAATACAATGAACAAACTCGATCTTCAATTTCAAATTTTCACACTAGTGGATACCACAAAATCTTATGTTATACCTAAGAAAAGTATGAATAAACTTTAAGTGTTAGTAATTCTATCATTTTGATGGGATACAAATTCTACGAAACTAATTTCAACAATCCAACCGTCAAACTTGTTTGTATATACTACAAGATCGCATAGACAAAAAATTGCAAAAAACAAACATTTAGATATCAAGTAACGGGACAAAACATTTCAACGGTTATAAATGAAAAATCACGATTGAACGGTTATTTTAACTCCGATTTTGATGATTTTTTACAGCTACACTCCTTGACCTTATATGAATACAATGAACAAACTCGATCTTCAATTTCAAATTTTCACACTAGTGGATACCACAAAATCTTATGTTATACCTAAGAAAAGTATAAATAAACTTTAAGTGTTAGTGCTTTTATCATTTTGATGGGATACGAATTCTACGAAACTAATTTCAACAATCCAACCGTCAAATTTGTTTGTATATGCTACAAGATCGCATACACAAAAAAGTGTAAAAAACAATCATTCAGATATGAAGTAACGGGACAAAACATTTCGACGGTTATAAATGAAAAATCACGATTTAACGGTTATTTTAACTATGATTTTGATGCTTTTTTACAGCTACTCTCCTTGACCTTATATGAATACAATGAACAAACTCGATCTTCAATTTCAAATTTTCACACTAGTGGATACCACAAAATCTTATGTTATACCTAAGAAAAGTATAAATAAACTTTAAGTGTTAGTGATTTTATCATTTTGATGGGATACGAATTCTACGAAACTAATTTCAACAATCCAACCGTCAAACTTGTTTGTATATGCTACAAGATTGCATACGCAAAAACTCGCAAAAAACAAACATTCAGATATCAAGTAACTAACAAAACTTTTCGACGGTTATAAACGAAAAATCACGATTTAACTGTTATTTTAACTCCGATTTTGATGATTTTTTACAAATACATGCCTTGATCCTATATGAATACAATGAAGTAATTTGATCGTCAATTTAAAACATTTACACAAGTGGATAGCACAAAAGAAAAAGGCAATACAAGAACCCCAAAAGAAAAGCAAAAGGGGAAAATAAATAAATAAATAAACTTTGAGCGACGGTGGTACACATGCGTTGCACAAAACATCTTTGGGCGACGTAGACCTACGTCGCGCAAAGTTTTTTTTTTTTTTTTTTTTTTCTCTTTTCCTTATGAGTACAAAATAAATAAATTAAAATCCAACTGTCAAACTTGTTTGTATATGTTTCAAGATCGCATACGCCAAAAACCACGAAAAACAAACATTCAGAGATTATGTAACGGGACAAACCTCTTCGACGGCTGTAAACGAAAATTCACGATTTAACGGTTATTTTAACTCCGATTTTGATAATTTTTTACAGTTATACTCTTTCAACCTATATGAATACAATGAACTAATTTGATCGTAAATTTAAAACATTTACACAAGTGGATACTACAAAATAAAAAGACAATGCAAGAACCTCAAAAGAAAAGGAAATGGAAAAAAACAAAAAAAAAAACTTTGCGTGACGTAGGTCCAGGTACGTTGCGCAAAACATCTTTGCGCGACACAGTCACCTACGTCGTGCAAAGGTTTTTTATTTGTATTTTTTTATTTTTTTATTTTTATTTTTATTTTTGCTCTTTTCCTGATGAGTAAAAAATAAATAAATTAAAATCTACTTGGGTTGGAGTGGGTTTGGGGGGTAATTTGGCTTTTAGCCCACCATTGGAGTTGGTCTTAGTAAATATATATACCATTGAACTTGATGGGAAACACATTGTACGAAATTAGTTTCAACGATCCAACCGTCAAACTTGTTTGTATTACTTATTCAACGTATACGAAACATTAATAGAAAAAAAAAGGCCGGTAAAGTAAATGATTGTTTGGAAGGCTTTAAAACAGAACTGTTGCAATTGTCATAATTCATAAAGTCTATATTAGCATGCTAGTAAATGAGGAAGAACATACTTGATACGAGGACAAATAAAACTGTAGGTGAGGAAATGTTAAAGAAGAAGCATTCTCATTTATAACACGTACGTACAGCTCCTCAGCATGCAAACAAGTGAAAGGAGAAAAGAATAAAAACAAGAAAAATGAAATATAACACTGTGATTTCAGGATAATGAGGGCTCTAGAATTACCATCTACAAACATATGAACAAAACAAAAATAAATCAAACCTGCTTTCTTCCAGCATGTGTAAGGACACCCCCATATTTAAAAACCATCAAAGCTTTTCAACTGGGCGTTCTTCCTCACCTTCACCATTACTTTTTGCCACTTTAACCCACGTTAGTAGCTTTAGTTGAACCTTCCCATAAATGCCATAGAAATGGCCCCCCTTGATAAACATAGGCATGAAAACAACACATGATTATAACCATGACGCGGTATAACAGTGTATCAAAACAATTCTGAAGAACAAGATTAAGACATTTTGGCAACTAGTCAATCTTTATACGACACCGATCCAACACAATTAGCTTCATTTAACACATATTTTCAGCCCGATTTTGAGTATCAGTAACTAACTTAGATGATACAGTGTAAGTAATCTTATAAAAGCAATATACAACTGTTTGTTCTCTTTGCAGGTGAGGGAGAGAGTTCGGATGTCTGTATTTTTTCCTATTCTGTTTTGGTTTTGACTTGTGTAAGAATACACTTTGCGCGACGCAGGTGGGACTTCGTCGCGCAAAGAAGTTTTGCTCGACGAAGTCCCACCTGCGTCGCGCAAAGCCGTTTTGCGCAACGAAGGACCCCTGTGTCGCGCAGTTGGGAAAAAAAGGGTAAAGATCCTTCATTTGGCACCAAAATCTTGCGCGACGCACATAAAGGTCGCACAAATGGCTTTTGCGCGACAACGCGTTGCGCGACGAAGATAATGTTGCGCAAAGTAGCTTTGCGCAACGTAACCAACGTCGCTCAAAGTGTCGTTGCGCAAAAGCCATTTACGCGACCCTTTGTGTTTAACGTCGCGCAAACATACTTTGCGCGATGAAATTATCTTCGTTGTGCAAATTTTCATCGCGCAAATTGATTTTTGTACTAGTGTGGACGACTCCTTTTTTTAAGGGGTTTCTCCATTTTAAAATTTGATAAAGATTGAAATTAAATTAAAACCTTATGTTGAATTATATATTCATTATAGTCCTTTGACTATATTTCCATGTCATCATAAATATTAAAATTCATACTTTCTCGTTTTAAAAGATTTAACGCCTTTTTTTTGTTCCCATAATGCCCATATTAAATATTTGGTTTTATTTTGCTCCATATTGTTTGGCATTGACTATTTTTTGACTTTATCAAACGATAAACATACCTCATCTAGACGTTCAAAAAACAATTAGTGATATGTTACAAGAACTAAACAAATACCTAATTCAAATTGGTCATTACCATCATCCAAAGCATATAGGAAATAAAAATACCCAAATCATATATTATACATAACCGAATGCGCTTAAAT